GAAGCTTGTAAAGCCAAACCACTGCCAGTCGGCAGGGACTCAATTTGGAACCGGTAAATCCACATGAAAGCCGTGTGATCGATCCCAACTTTCAGGTCCATTAATTGACTTCTGCTCAGCATGGTAGTGACTCTAGGAGATGTGTAGAACATAGAGGATGGTTTTGCTGAAATGGGATTTTCTAAGGTACATTTACACTGCACACTTATTTCAAAATAAGCTCTTTCAGAATAGAAACTCCGAAATAGCTGATTTAAAAATAGCATGTCTACGCTGCACATGCCCATCAATGAGCTATTTCAAAATAGAGCAAACAAACTGATTGGAGTCTCAGTCACGTTTAAAGCTCCCAGAAGCACTTCAGGCAGGGCATCATGACAGCTGTCACTTCTTTGAGCTGTTTCCTGAACCTATCTAAGGATTAAAGGGACCCCTGTCTACAGTCATGTCTCAGGCTCTTCTCCGTGCCTACTTCCTTGAGGGACAGCAAAGCCTTACCACTGCCTGCTCTGGTTTCCCTTGCGGAAACCACAGCACTCCTGCCATGGAGCCAGGTCTGCCTCCAAGCAGTCAACGGCTCTTAGACCCCATGCCGCACCTCCTGCTGCAGTTACTGCAGGCTGCCCTTGTGGCCCTGCCAGAGCAAGACCCCCAGCTCATTGTGGGGCACCTTCTCTCCTCTCTCCACATGCTGCTCATACATCATAACACCTCCCTCTCTTCCCTGTGCACCATGCGCTGCCTCCTCTGGAGACTGGGCACCAATTCCGACTGGTGGGACAGGATTGTCATGGAGAAGTAGGGTGACCAGCAGTGGCTCCAGAACTTTTGCAAGTGCAAGGACACCTTTCTGGAGCTGTGTGAGTGGCTTGCTTCTGCCCTCAGGCAACAGGACACCCACATGAGACCCACCATCCCCTTCCAAAAGCAGGTTGCCATCACACTGTGATGATGGTGGAGGCTCCCTCCCTGAATGATTTTTCATTCCCGCCTTCACAAAGCCCTACCAGGGGATGGGGTAAGTAGCGGGTTGTTCCTGGTGTGTTTGGGGTAAAAGGTTGGATTTGGGGACCTCCTGAGGGCACTGGCAACCCTGTTATTTTCTGTTTATCTCCTTCTACTGGTGGTGAGGACCCATTGCCCCCCGGGATGGCACGGACCATCCCACCCACCATTATGTGGTCCAGGGCATCAAAATGGGGAAAGGTGTCTGCCCCTGTGGGAGAGCTGTTCTGTATGGCCCTTGCGTATGCCTGCCAGAACTCTTTAATTTTCATGTTCACCTGCTCCTGGGTACGCATGTGGCCTTTGGTGGCCATGGTGGCAGCTATGCAGCCGTACACGGCTGCGTTCCTCCATCTAGTGCGGAGATCATGGACATTAGAGGCCTCCCCACAAACCTCTGTGAGGTCCGTGATCTCTGAATTAGTCCAGGAGTGCACTTGCCATCCCCAGCCCCAGGCTGGCTCCTGGTAGCTGAGGAACTGGGCGGTGGATGGCTGGCTGGCTGGCATTGGCTTCCTGGCTCATTCTGCGGGCACTGGATCAGGGGCAGCGACTGCTGGCTCTGTGCTGGCAGGCCTGGATCTGGCACATGCAGTGTGGCCAGAGTCTACTCCTTTAAGGGCTCAAGGGATGGGAGAGATGAGAGGAGTTTTCCTGGTTTGGCCCAGAGTGGACACCAGGTGAAACTAGGAAGGGCTGGAGGCCCCCTATTTCAAAATAAGCATCTATACAGCACTTATTTCAAATTAGCTATTTCAAATCTGGTATTATTCCTCGTGGAATGAGGTTTAACAAATTTGAAATAAGCATTCCACTATTTCGAATTAATTTCAAAATAGTGTTTTGCCTGTGTAACATTAAAGTTAATTCAAAATAATGGCTGTTATTTCAAATTAACTTTGATGTGTAGACATACCCGGAGAGAATTGTCATGACCATATATACCAAAAGAATACAATGAAAAAAGTAAACACATTATTAAACTGACAAATCAGATTTAGTACAGAAGGTGAGGTGAAGGGGAGGGAGGTAAGGAGTAGCTAATCAATGAATGGCTAATCGGGGTGATAAGTGGGAAGCTATCTTTGTAATGGTTAACGTGATTAGCATCTTTGTTAAGGCCCATTTGTAAAGTGTCAAATTTGAACATGAAAGAAAATTCTGAAGTTTCCCTCTGTAATTTGGTGTTAAAGTCTCTTTGAAGTAAGATCCATATCTTAAGGTCATTAAGGCTATGTCCAGGTAGGTTGAAATGAAAAGCAACTGGTTTTTCCTTGTGAAGATGTCTGATGTCTGATTTGTAGACATTAATTCTTTGGCGAAGTGTCTGAGACGTTTGTCCAATATACATAGCAGAAGGACACTGTTGGCACATGATGGCATAAATTATATTTCTGGATGAACCGGAATATGTGTTCTTGATCATATAACTGACATGGTTAGGTCCAGTGATGGTGTCACCAGAGTAAATATGTGGACAAAGTTGGCAACGGGATGGGTTGCAAGGGAAAGTTCCAGGACTGGTATTAATGTGGTATGACCTGTGATTGCCACCAAATGTGAGTTTTGGATGATTTTGTTAGGTGTTTAAATAAAGGCTCATCCACTACTTCTTTCTGGTTAGGTGGTCTGGAGTAGGCCCCTACTATGACATCTCTTATTTTTTCTCTTTAATTCTTACCTAGAGATTTTCATCAAGCCTATCTCCTATTTCCATCTCAACCTCAGTGCAAGTATATACATTTTTAATACAAGCCAATATATTCTCCCTGTTCCCCTACCTGTCCCTCCTCAGCAATTTGTACTCTTCTTTACCAATATTCCAGTCATAAGTATCAACCCATTAAGTCTCTGTGATGCCAACTATGTCATAGTTGTGTTTACAGCCTCTCCCCAACTTATGAACCAGTTACAGACCAAGCAATTGGTCATAACTCGTTTTTTTCGTAAGTCGGACCCCATAGAGTTACACACGACCGTGCTGTTCGTAAGCGCGGATCGTGTTCGTAACCCAGGATCTGCCATTTACGACAGCTTCAGTTGTAAATGCAAATGGCCATAAGTCAACCATTCACTACTCAGGGACCGGCTGTATTTATGAGCATTTCAAGTTCTTCCTGCTTATTCCTTGTACTTAAATCAGAATACAGACATGAAAGATACTGATTTGATCCCCTTAGTTTTGTCTTATCTCTCCTTTGTGCCTTCTAAAACAGAATGTTCCCCCTTGCTTTGAACTGTTTTCCCAGGTCTCTATTTTTTTTATTTACCTTTGGGCTTTGGTCACCTGCCCCTTTGAAATTCAGTTAAAAGACCTCCTCACTAGGTTAGCCAATCTGTATCCAAATATGCTCTTCCCCTTCCTTGATAGGGGCGCCCATCTCTGCTTTTTACTCATTCTTCCCGGATAAATATCCTGTGGTCAAGGAAGCCAAAACTCTCCTTTCAATACCGACTTTACAGCCAGGCATTTACCTCCAAGATGCAGTCTTTTCTTCCACTCCTACCATTGAATGAAAAAATGGAAGAGAACATGACTGGTTCTACAAACTCCTTCAATCTTTCTCACAATAGCTTTAGTGCCCACAATGGTGAGTAGCATGAGGGTAGTAATCAGATGTTCAGATGATCCTCAACAATTCCTCATTAATGTCTCAGATAGCACTTGGAATGACATATTAGGATGACAGATGGGTACCTCTGCCCCCCTCAAAAGAAAGTCCCAAGTCGCCACTACCCTGTGTTTCTTCCTGGGAGTGGTAGCTGCAGACATCCCAGTTTTGGGGGCACAAGCCTTCTCCTCTTCTACCTTAGCAGATTATTCCTCAACTGTGATTTGTTTGTTTTTGTTTTCTTTTTTCTGTTAAATGCTTGACTTCCATTTGCTACCTGAACTCAAGCCTTTTCTTCCCTTTTTTTTAGAAATATGTTCTCTTGATTATTTCGAACATGGTTATTTTCTGAATAATTATTGGACAACCTATAAAGAAGGTGTTGAAATTTCATATGCATGTTTGTATGATTATGTACCTGAAAATCCAGAAGCCAAAGCTGTATGTACAAAGAATAACTGGATGCCTCCTCCAAGATGTATCTATAAAAGTAAGCAATATTTATCTTCTATTGAGGGGCTGGTTAAAAAACCATCAACATGACTAAGAGAAATGCAGAAATACCAGTTCTACCAGGTGACTTGTCATGTCAATGCAATGACTCACTAAGTAACTGTGTTATTGTATTTCTGTGACTCTCAAACTTCTTCGCCCATCAGTTTCCTGCTATTTGCCACCCCATTTGCTGTGTTATTTCTAAATGTTAGATTGTAAACTCCTTGGGAAAGGTACCAGGTATGTCTTTGTCTTCTGTGACAAGATGAGCATATTTTGTGGAGTGTTAGAGAATGATATCCTGGAGGTCAGCAAATCCAAGCATAGAAGGAACTCCAAAATGTGATAAGAAGTCTGGTGGCACCTTATAGACTAACTGAAGTGTTGGAGCATAAGCTTTTCTGGGCAAAGACCCACTTCATCAGATGCATCTGATGAAGTGGGTCTTTGCCCAGAAAAGCTTATGCTCCAACACTTCAGTTAGTCTATAAGGTGCCACAGGACTCCTCGCCGCTTTTTCAGATTCAGACTAACACGGCTACCCCTCTGATCCAAAATGTGAGTGTCTCTCATGGATAATATCCTGTTGGTTACACCCTGTCATTCAAACTGAAGGAATCTAACATGCTTGTTGTATTGATCATAACTGTGGAAATACTGCAGTGGGAAAGGCTGTCCCTGAAGAAGGCAGGTTAAGTGATAATGTCTTTGTGATATTTCATCACTGTCTCTCTCAGGCTACATTTAGACCTCAGGCTTCTTTCAGAACAAGCTTTTTTCGGATGAGATCTTCTGAAAAAACGTCATCCAAAAGAGAGCATCTACACTACAAAGGCACATCAAAAAAGCAATGCGTTTTTTTTTGAAAGAGAGCATCCAGACTGAATGGATTCTATCCCCCATGTAAGCTGTGATTGCTATGGATGGAATGACCACCATGGCACCTGTGCTTTTTCCTCTTTCCTCTTCTTCCAAAAGAACTCCCTCTTCCCCATCCACACACACCTTTTTGTATAAGAGCTCTTTTGCAAAAGGCGTTCTTCCTCATAGAATGAGGAGTACAAATGCTGGGAAAATCCCTCTGTTCTTTCAATTTATTTACAAGAGAACATGATTGTAGTGTGGATGTTCCTCAAGTTTTATAGGAAAAACGTCTGTTTTTCTGACAAAACTCTGTAGTGTAGACATACCCCCACTGATTAGCCCCTTATGATTTGTAAGGTACATAAACTATGAAGCTGCTTCCCAATATCAGCACACAATAAAAAAACAGAACTTCTCACAAAGTAAGAGCCAGCAGTGTTGGAACCAAACTTACCATTTTCAGTCCAACCATTCGTGACATTGGTTTTGGCAAGTCAGTATCAGGAATGATCATGAGAGATGAGAAACACTGGCATGCACGCTGATGATTTCTTGTTTTCTTCTCCCACTTTCCAAAAGTCTGCAGGAATGTGTTCAAAAACTTTTTAGTGATCCTCCATTTCATTTTAGATGTATTTCTTCTATGGTCACCTTATTCTTACAAACAAACTTATGAATTAACAGTATTTATCTTTAGGTAATGTCATTTTCTATTTTAGAATCATGTGAAAAAGCTCAGATGAGCAATGGTTATTACACCCAAGTTAAGGACAAATTTGAATTAAATGAAGAAGCAACATACAGGTGTCTGGCTGGTTACACGACTCCTGAAGGAAATGAGGAGGGGACTATACAATGCCTTAAAGAAGGATGGACTTCACTCCCCAAGTGCATTAGTGAGTAAAGAGCCAGAGCATAAAATCTTACGAACTTTCTGGCAATTATTCTTGCTTTAGGTTTCTTAGTAATCATCCTCTGATTTTAAGGATCTATCACACTGACATATTTCACAACAGAATAGTCTACAAAATTAGCACAATAAATAAACAAGCCTTCCTTTGGATGAGTGCCTTTTTATTAAGTGATATCCCATATTTCTAGAGTACTGTGCACATTTCTATAGGATGTGGATTCCTTGCATCTCATTTCCCATTTAGCAATCAGTAAGGAGATGTGTATGGGTTGTGTGGTGTTCATGAATGTCATGATTTGAAAAGTCTCTGTGGGTAGCCATTTTATTCTGTATCAGTGAGGAATCTTGTGGTACCTTAAAGGCTAATAGATTTATATGGCAAAGACGCACCTGACAAAGTCATTTTTACCCACAAAAACGTATTCCCAAAAAAATCTGTTACTCTTTAAGGTGCCACAAGACTCCTTGTTGTGCTTGAAAATAAAGGCAGGGAGCATGCCAGTGCCACAGCATGGATTACTGTGGCTTGTAAACAAGAAGCAGATCCTCAAATAGGATAAAAAGGGTTCAGTGTTACAATCCACATTAGTCAGTATGGCTGTGTCTAGACTGGCAAGTTTTTCTACAAAATCATTTGATTTTGCGGAAAAACTTGCCAGCTGTCTATGCTAGCCACTTGAATTTCCAAAAGTGCTTTTGCGGAAAAGCATCCTGCCAATCTAGACGTGCTTTTCCAAAAATGCTTTTAACGGAAAACTTTTCTGTTAAAAGCATTTTTGGAAAATCATGCCAGTGTAAACGTAGCCTACACGTATAGCCCCATGGCACAACACAGCAGAAAACAGTTGGCTGGTTAAAATATCCTCTACCACCTATGTCTGAAGGGATTGTTAGGGTAAAGATAGCATGGATGTCTTGGCCCTTCAGGTGCTAAAATGACCCATTGGAGCATACATAACTGCCAAAGAAAGGCTGAAGAAGGAGGAGTAACCTCAAGATCTGGAAGGTTCAATGGGGGGGTTAAAATCACCTTTGTTTGATCTCTTGCTCTGGTTCCATGCTGAGCACAGCTGGACCAGACCTTACAATCTGTATTCTGGATTCTCTAGAGTGGAGCAGAATCCACCCCTTACAGATACTCAGGTGAGCAAAACTACAAGCCAACTGTGACAGCCATAGTAAAACTATATAGTACACCAAGGAAAGAAGGAAATTTATCACAGTGTCAAATGTCAGGGAAAAGAACGAATCCAAGGAAGACAAACATTTGTGCTAGATATTAGGGAGATATTTTCCATTTTAAGAGCGTAAGAGTTCACTCTGAAGAGAAAGGTTTGAGTCATCATCACTGTAGAAATATTCAAGGACAAACAGTTCTGGTAAACATGAGTGGGAATGATGTAAGAGATGCAAAATGCAGATACATACTGTGATAGACTCAGACTAGCCATCTGCCACTCACTGGTGGAGAGGAGACATGCTGGGGCTTGGGTGAACAGCTTTCTTTCCTGAGTTAAAAAAAATGAAGCCTAAAACCACCATAATCAGGCAGGCACCTTGGGTTCAATTAGAACTTGCTAGAAGCCACAAAGGGTATGTCTACACTAGCTTGTTAGTTCGAGATAGGTAGGCAAATGAGGGCAACCGGAGTTGCAAATGAAGCCTGGGATTTAAATATCCCGGGCTTCATTTGCATCTTCCCAGGTGCCGCCATTTTTAAATCCCCCTTAGTCCGAACTCCGTGCCCGCAGCTACATGCGGCACAGAGTAGGTAGTTTGAATTAGGATCTCTAATTCAAACTACCAGTACACCTTGTTCTACGAGAAGGTGGGGGGGATAATTTGGGGAAGTGGCCCAGGGTAAAGCTGCCAGATTGCAAGTGCCAGTAAACCTGTCTGTTGCCGCTGCCTCAGGGTCCCTGAGCTGGGCGATGCATTAGTGGGTGGGCCCAGATTCCCTCTAACCGCCCCACAACATCTCAGTGTGCCTCAAGAAAGGAGATTAGGGGATTTTACCCCAAACGTATGAACTAGGCTGTGATGAGAATGGCTCAGCAGGCTGTGGCTCCTGCCTCTGGTAAAGAGAAAAATGCAGTGTGGACGTCTACAGTGAACCTCTGAGACTAATGCTATCCACCAGTAGTGTGAGACAAGCTGGAAAATAACTGGAGCTTTGTCATAATACACAATTATTTTAACCACAACTGCACGACATAAAAAAAACCTAACCATTGTAGTCACCATTGGTAGTAAACAAGAATAAGCAGATACCCAATCTTTGGCTGCTAGCAGGGCCATTGAATACAGAGCTTATCCATGTGTTGGAGCTAGGAAGCCCCTTTGCACTGTTCCCCTGGATGTTGACAAAGAAAGTATGGGATCCTTTTCCTTACCTTAAAGGAGGGAATCAGCTTCACTTTTTTCCCCACCTCATAGAAAACTCCTTCCTTTGCTGGCAAAACCACCATCCCCCTTCCTGGCAGCCTCATCAGTGGCAAAGGATACAGTGGTTACAGACACTGAACTACCTTCTCATTCGTGGGCTTTCACGTTGACAAGACAGAGTGGGGGGATCTGGCATGAAAATGGGTGTTCTGTGGATAAATAGGGCACTACCTTCTCCATTTTAAAAAGATTTCTGAAAAATCCTGCATGCAACTTCAAAGGGATGGAGAGATTCTTTATTAGTAAGTGACAGAACCAATACTCTCAAGAGTCAGAAAATGCTTGTGGCAGAAAGGGATGGATGCCTCAGCCCCAGTAAGCTGTTTTAATTAAATGTCTGCTATGCGGAATGAATTTCTTCAACTGGTTTTAATTGCTGTTATAATTGTTAATTTAAATAGCTGTGATTTAGGTGCAGGTTACATTGTGGCAAATTAATGGAGGGGAAGTTTTGATGTTTGCTGGGACAGATGAGAACCAGACACTGCTATCAGCCATCAACCCTCAGAAAACAGTAGTCATCACAGTCTAAAATGACATTTTCAATAATATTTTCTGATTTCTAATTTTCTTTGAAATCTTGGAACAAACTTCATTGGTGACATTATTGACATGCAAAGCATGACAGCTATGCATTGTATCCTTCCATCTCCACTGCATACACTGTTTTTACAGACTAGAGAACCAACGTAGGTTGAGAAATGGCAGCTGAGAAGTATAGGACTGCAGCAAGAGAAAATTCTGTTTGGACTATTGGAAGCAGTTAGTTTCCTTGTTCAGGAAACTTAATGATGTTGATCTATTACCTTTCTGGGGGGTATGTCTAGACTACAGGGTTTTGTCAACAAACGTGAACTTTTGTCAACAAAATTATACCTGCGTCTACACTACCGCCGTGTTCTATTGACAGTAAGTCGACAGAATGCAGCAGTTTTGTCGATTGCGGTAACCTTGTTTTATGAGGAATAATGCCGTTTTGACAGAGTTCTGTCGACAAAAGATAAATGTGGATGCGGGGAAGAATTTATGTCAAAAATAAAGGCCTCCAGGTAGAAGCCCTGGTGGACATTCCTGCCACAGCTTTCAACTCTATTGTTCCTGCCTGTAGCCATCTTTAAAAGGCACAGGCACCCAGGATTAGCATTCTGGAAGCAAACCAGCTCCAGCCAGGACCCTGACTGTGCAGCTATTCCAGGTAGGGCTACTCAGAGGCATGTCCTAGGGCCAAGCCCCCCAAAACCTCTCTGGCCCTTCCAGGGACACATCCCCGCAGGAAGCCAGGGGTACCAAACACCAGGCACCCTCCTGGTCAGGGCCCGAAATAAAAGCCATCTTGGAGCTCTGTTCCAAGGAGAAGGCCCTTCAGGCCCTACCGTCCAAGTGGAGGAATGCTGACATTTATGCCAGAATGGCTGATGGCCTTGCAAGGAAAGTCCACCACCCCACACCTTAGACCAGACCAGACCCAAGGTAAAAGAGCTGTGGCAGGGCCCATGAGCACAGCTCCCACTCTGGGGAAACGGCACACTACTGTGCCTATTACGAGGACCTGGACCAGATCCTGGGGGCAGGGAAACTCCTGCCTCCAGAAGGTTGTGGAGTCTGGGTTGGAGACCCCTGTGCAGCAGCGGCCACAACTCCAGTGTGAGACACCAGAAGAGGACCAGCAGCTCCAAGAAGAGCAGGAAGAGGAGGACGAGGAGGAGGAGGAGGAAGAGGAAGACACCGCCAGAAGCACAACAACCCTGACCCGGGAGCCAGGGCCGCTGACAGGGGC